TTACTATAGTGGTAATTAAAATTTTTCTATACAATGCCTACAGGACATTCTATGCATGTCTAATACAAAGCTCAATCATTCTGGCTTTACTGATTTGACATACCTTAAACACATAGTAAAGATAAGAAAGAAGTATGGCAAGTGCTCCACAAGTTGTCCAACTAACTATGATCAAAACAATTGTCAAAATGGGCAAGTCTGGTGATATCATCTTAATATCTTTAGGAAGTTCAGAGGGTCTGGAATTACAGAATAAAGTTTTAAAAATATATTAAGATATACTAATACACTCACATATAAGAAGAAAATGATATAGTACTCTCCTCATTATTAATATGCAAATATCATAAGGTAAACAGTAAGGTATTTTCAAATAAGGGAAGTGGCCCCAAATATTTGATTTTAAGTTCTGTAATACACTGTGATAGCTCCTCTTCCATTTAGATACACTATGGCTAATACTTGTATATTAAGGAAGAAAAAAATGTTGCCAAAGATTAATTAATTAATTACAGATCCTGTGCCAAACATCTCCAATCTTGATTGGAGGAGAAACAATTTTGTTTTTATTTCTTAAAGCCAAAAGATCACTCAAATGCTTGATGGCATTACTATCAGAAATCCCTGTATCAAGTTCTCAGAAGTGTGGAGGGAGAGGCACCATATCACAATCCCTTCTGTGACAGGAAATCACATAACATGTCTAGTAAGGAGGAATGGCAATGGAAACTAGATTGATTTACCAGGAAAGCCTACCAGCAACTTCAGATTCAAACTGTGTCTTTGGGCCTATAATAAAACTACAGGCAACGTATTTTAAGCTTTTATACTTCTCATCTAATCTAATGCTAAATATCTTGATTAGAGTCTTTTGCCCTCAGGTTTGATTATAGAATTCAGCATATAAAAGCACTGCCAGAGAAACAATCCTCCTGGAAAAGATTCACAACTGTCAAATTAAAAAATACCTGTGTAATTTGTCAAACTTCTGATTAACTCTTGAGCACTAAAGTCAAAATCAAATATAGCATTAAACATGTAATAAATGATTAGCTTTGACAAAGACATAACTCTGAACATTAACCCATACTTTTGCTAGTTATATATTTTTTCCTTAGAAAATAATTTAGTAAAAAGAATTAATTTTTAGGTTCTCTATCACAATATAATTGTTTTTTAACTAAAGAGCAATAAGAAAGCGTTTAATCATTTATTCTTTACCTTTTCAAAGCAAGCCACAACGAAGAAAGGAGTCGCACAGATGCAGAGGAGAGCAGGCCACTCCAGTAGGCAGTACATGTTCCAAAGAGAAAGAGAATCAAGGATACAAGGGGGAAACACATGCTCTGACTAGTTAAAAAGATGGCATCTAATTCTGGTAGCAGTAATGTGTCCCACAGTTCTTTAAACCATTTATACCTGAGGACAAAAGAAAGCATAAAATAAAAGCAAAAAAAAAACCCAACAACTGACATGCAAGGATTTAATATTTTAGGTGTCTAAGCATTCAACAGAGTGCCTAAAGTTCCATGATGCTTAGTTTACAGTTATATTTAAAAAAAAATGTTTAATTCTTTGTATGGAACAAGTCATTTATCTTCCAAGTGAGCCTACTGATCTTCAAGGTCTGAGTCCTGAGTCTCAATAGTTTTACTGCTCTCTATTGACCCTTGTATGAAGTAGTGTGTGTGTTTCTGTTTTTCTTTTCTTTTTTTTATAAATCCAACAGTTCAGTTTGTTGTAATGACGGAAGAGCTAAGTAATGGTTCTTAACCAAAACACACATGTGAATAAATTAACAATGGAATGTTATCTAGGGTAGAGAGGTCTAAAATATAATTTGCATGAGAAGTAAGAGAAAGTGATCAGAGGTACTGTTTCATCAATATCCTATCATGATTTGAGTCTGAAGCTAGGATACTCAAAGATCATGGACCATAAAAATCTGTTTGCAAACGTTAAAGGCCTGGTAAATTTACAGTCTAAGTTGATTTTATTTTTAGAGATGGGGGTCTCACTATCTTGCCCAGGCTGGTATCTAACTCCTGGCCTCAAGTCATCCTTCTGCCTCAGCCTCTTAAGTAGCTGGGATTATAGGCATGAGCCACTGTGCCCAGCTCCAGTTTAAGTTTAGATTGATATATATAAATTCTATAATTACTTTTGAAATGATCATACTATTAAAGTAAATGTTGATATACTTATCAGGCCTTTGCCTAAAAGAAAAAGATCCCATTTAATGAAACAAGTTAATTGCCCAATTTGTATAAAAATTTATTGCATTATGGAACCAAACATGTTTTATATATAAAACAAAATCACAATCATTATCACAGATAATAAAACTTACCCCAATAGAAACTTAATTATAATTACAAAAGGATCAACTTTGTATGGTTTAGCTTCTTTATCCAATATGGTAGCATATTCTATGCAATAACCTGGTGATTAAAAAAAAATTATATGCAATAGAGAATTCATAATAATTAAGTATGAGATCTATTATACCCTGCATTCTCTATAAGAGCAACATATTTTATAACAGAGAAAGCATTACTATCATAGACTCTCTTCTTGAAAGATTTAAAATTAACGTAATTCAATGGTTCTTATACAAGAGTACATTCAATCACTTGTGAAACAAATTCAAGAAGTCAAAGCTAGAGTTTCACCATCTGTATTTTCACAAAGTTCCACAGGTGATATTTTACACAGCTTTATTGGATATAATTCTCACACCATACGATTCATCCATTTAAAGTATATACAAATCAGTGGTTTTTATAGTGTATTCAGAGTTGTGAATCCATCACCACAATCAGTCTTAGAACATTTTTACTATCCCCAAAAGAAATCTTGTTCACCTTAACTGTCACCCCCAACACTCCCCTTCCCTAGGCAACCACTAATCTTTCTTTGTCTACAAATGCGCTAATTCTGAACATTTCATATTAAGTTGAATCATATATGTGGGCCATTGTGATTGGTTCCTTTCATTTAACATTTTTCAAGATTCATTCATGTTGTAATGTGTATCAGTACTTCATTTCTTTTTATTGCTGAATAATATTCCATTGTATGAATGCATATACTATATTTTAGTGATCCATTCATCAACTGATGGACATTTGGGTTGTTTCCACTTTGTGACTGTTATGAATAATACTTGTATGAACATTTGTATACAAGTTTTTGTATGGTTGTATGCTTTCATTTTTCTTGTGTCTATTCCTAGGAACAGAGATGCTGAATTATATAGTAACTCTGTTTAATCATTTGAGGAATTTTCAGACTGTCTTCCAAAGTAGCTATTTTACATTCTCACCAGCAGTGTATGAGGGTTCCAATTTTTCTACATCATCATTAAAACTTGTTATTGTCTTTTTTATTATAGTCATTCTAGTGGGTATGATTCACAAGTGATTTCTGATATGCATTCTTTGTTCAGAAATACCTCTTTAATTGGTTGAAGACATAATCCCATACTTAAATCCTCTAGATTAAACAACATCAGTGGATCCTATAGCTGTAAATTCTGTATGTTTGAGAATCAATTATCAAGTCAGTTGAAACTAAGAAAAACAAGATTCGTTTTTCAGACTTTCAAAACAAGATAGATATTTATATTCAAGTCAGGTTAATGTAATACGGTCAGAATAATCTCTTAATTAAAAGGTTGGGTCTGGGGCAAATCACACTAAATGTTGCTTTCCTCTTCCTGGAATATAGGTTAAATCAGGTAAAAACAAACACTGAACTTGTATAAAAGTCATTGAAAGGCATTGAATACCTGTGAAAAGATTTGGGTAGAGGGATTTATGGACTGCTTTTATATATTCTAGCACAACTTTTTCTTATCTCCTGCCTCCCTTAATTACTATCCAAGCCCAGTGAAACAATGTTTAGATTCCTAGGAAAATGTTCTAACTCAGCAGTCCCCAACGTTTTTGGCACCAGGGACTGGTTTCATGAAGACGATTTTTCCACAGACAGGGGGATGGGAAGGGTAGGCAGGGCTCAGGTGGTGATGCACAGACTGGTTCCTAACAGGCCATGGCCCGGGGTTGGGGTCCACAGTTCTAACTGATATACTCTAGGGAGGGTTTTATCCATTGTAGTATATGTTCTACATCTGCCTCTCCAGATCCATTTTCCACCCTTCGTTTTGCTCTGAACTCTGGGAGGCTGACTTTTATGGATTGGCTTCCAGTCAGATTCAGTGAATGGAAAGTACTGACAGATAGGATGGTAAGAGTAAATAAGGTTAGTGTACGTATTTCTTCACCTTTTTCCCTGCTGAGCCATAGGTTAGCAGTGGCTGCAGTATTCCTGTACCCAAGGCTGCAGCTTCAGTAATGCTGTCCATTCCTACAGCCCTCTAGGTTTGTTTCCACTCTTGCCTGGAACTTAGGAGTACCAGATGGTTTTGTTGCTAGTCCAGTACCTTATCATCTCTTGTTAGTTTTCCTTAACTCTGCACATACCTTTGAAATGGTTCCTTCACTAAAATCTCAATTATTCATTCAGTGTGCCAGGACTGACATAGTTGATACAGCCTAAATAATACACTGAATGCCTACTGTGTGCGTGGCACTATGTTAGGCACTGGGAATAGAATGGAGAACAAAATGCTCTCAATAAGGCTATACATTTTAAGAAGTCCTCATAATAGAGGAAAGAAACTTCAGGCACTAGGGTATAAAATGGAGAAAACAAGTGAGAAATTTTCTTGAGGATGTCTTAAAACTTAGAGGACCTCAAACCCCTGCAAATTTGAGAGAGAAGGGCCATGTGTTTTCAAGAAATTATCTGTCTTCCTTAGCCATGTGTAGGATGAAAAAGTAGTAATGAAGCATTGGCCCATAGAAGCAGGGAGGGAGGGAAAAAAGGAGGAAGGAAGGGAGGAAAGGGGAGGGGAGAAAAGAAGAAAGGAGGAAGGGAAGGAAGGAGGGGAGGGGAAGGCAAAGGGGCTGGGGACAGGGAAAGGGAAGGGGAAAGAAAGAGAAGGGAAGGGAACAAACAAACATGGAAGGAAATTAGGGAGTGAGTGCCTCCTAACAGAGGTATAGAACACTATGAAGTATTCTTGCCCTAGCAGCAGCAGCAACAGAAAAAAGAGGAGGGGCAGGGATGGGTGGGAAGAGAATCAGCATCTGATCAAGCCTATAGCTCTAATTACTAATTCATAGAAAATAGAGACGATAGAAAAACATGTTCAATTCTACCAGCAAAATCCAAACTGTGGGAAACACAGAAGTACAAAAAAACCAGTTTTATTCAATAAATTATAAAAGGGGGTAGAGATGGAAGATAGAACCTACAGATTAAGAAACAATGTTTAAACTGTGAAAGTTGTCAGAATCAAAATGGAGTCACTTGCATTGCAGAAAACCAAACTCTGAAAAATAGAGCCAGGGAAGACTATGAAGAGAAGGTTCTCATGCCTCTATCCCTGATAACAAAACTCTGTCAAAAGACTGTGCCAAACCATATCCTTGCACAAAGACCATTGCAACCTTTCGCAAACATACAAAAAAACTTCTCTGAAAACGTCTGCCCAGCAACTACCCATCTAATCTCAAACTGGTACCACCTTTGCCACTGATCCTTATAGCCAAGAATAATCATTTCAAAACAATTATGTAATCCTCCTCATTTTTTCTCTAACACCTTTTGTCTTCCTTTACCTCCCTGAATATACACATAGTTTACTACGGCACTCATATTCCCACTGCAATATCCCATTCCCAAATTAACACCATTTTCTTTTAGAAAGCCTCTCTGTTTGTTATTTGGGTTGACATAAAAGGTGTCCAGAAGTCGGACCTGGAGTATGCTCACTCTTGGATGGAGTTGGCAATTCTCGGAACTGGTGTGCAGTACTCACTTGAGCCCTCTGAGCTCTCTGCTTCTTCCATGGCTAGCTTTTTCTGCCCTGGTGAGTCTTCTCCCAGGTTGATCCTCCCTCTCCCTATAAAGCCAACGTAGAAACTCTTGACTTTATTTGGGATCTAGTTTGGTTATAAGGTCACCTTAAATAAAGGACCTTACATCCCTCCTAGGATGATAAAAGACATTTTGTCTTTTCTGGCAGGTCCTTTCTGGTATAAAGACTAGTGTTTTTTTAAGTGAGTACTCTGTGTCTAATTTAATATTTTGTTTGATCTGCATGCCTGGGTTAAAGTTTTTATGAATACTCTTAAAGGTTTCTTTCCATTTGATTACATGAGTCTGTAAATGATTTGGCTCTTTTTCCTTGTTTCTGAAAATCTTCTGAGAGCAAAATAAACATTCTAAATGGTAGATGCAGGATGGCTAATTAAAAGCCACGAGAGTGGCTGCCACCATCTAAAACACTGGTCCAAAATCCTGACATTCTCTGACAGGATTGACAGGATTTTCTTTGCTCTGGAAAGAGTAATAAGAAATGGAATGGGATTCTCAAACATTAAGGCATGTCTGGTTTTCTGGGACTCAGCTGGCTACATATTATGGCTTGTTCTTGTGCACATTTTTAAACTGATGGGCAAAATTATACCAAGGAAAATTCAGAGCTCAATGGTCATTACTCAAACTCTCTAAAACAAAGCTGCAACTATAGAGTTAACACGTAGAGCCTTGTAAGTTCTCTCGTTTTTGTTTTTTCTGCCTACTTTGAATCTGCTGACTTTTTTACTGGTACTGAGATAAAACTCATTGCTTATGGCATTCCACCCAAGATTAAAAAATTCTAAAAAAGTTTTAAAAGGTTTTCAAATTAATAGCTTTACAAATTACAACAGCTCCCATGATAACCAACAACCTAGACACCTTTTAGAAATGCAAATTTGGGTTGGCCAGATTAACAATTGCTTAGGATGACAGAATAGTTAAATTGAAGGACTAATGTTCTAAAAAAAAAGAACTATATAAAAGTTAGGCTCTCAGACCAAACAGGTCAAAATCTTGAGCTCAGAGCAATAGTATAAGGCATCTCTGGTGAGCATAAAAATTTTGCTTTGTCTGCCAGGAAGGGGTCAAAAAAAAAAAAAAATCCTAAAAAGAACCCTGCTTAACATGCTTCCCCACCCATACTGCCTAGTCAAGCAAACCAAAAAGATAGATTCAAGGTTACCTGGAGATTTTGTTTTTCTTATACAATTAAGCCAGTCTTAGCTAAAATGTAAATATTGAAAATTTAACCCTAAACTCATTTAAAACTAAAAAAAAAGGGGGGAAAAAGGATGAAAGAGGTTTTTAACAATCAAATTGCTGTGAAAACTGCTTTACATACATGACTGTGCTCCATAGCCTTCATTAGATTATCTATAGGGGCAAATAAAGTCAATTTTGTCAGAAATGTAATTTGAATCTTTTATAAACCAGTAAGTTTGTATTACTATCTTATGATTAAAATTCCAAAATGAAAGCTAAAAGATCTTTATTTGTGTATGTGTTTAGG